AGGAACCACCTCCCATTCTCTCCAAACACTAATGAGCAGTAACAAAAGCTAAAAGGAAGGGGGAAAAAAAAAAAAAGAGCTGTATTTATATATATATACACATTAGAGAAAAACAAACCTCTTCTAATCCATAGACTTTATATAGTTTTTATCAGTGTTTCAGGTGTCTGATACCCCCCAGCACAAACCCAGGGGTTACTCAGCACAGACACCTGCTCCTGTGCACACACGTGTGTGCTCACTGTGCTCCGATGGACACGCTGCCTTCTCTCACCAGGGGGGAGCATATTTAATAACCGACAAAAAAAAAGCCCCCCCAGGATCACTTTGGCAGCAGCCAGGTTCATGAATATTTCCACAAACAGAAGCAGCTTTGAGAAAATGCTCCTTCAAGCTTATCTTTCTGAAGTTACCCTGCCTTTCCCCCACTACAGCAGGAAGGGCAACTTCTCAAATTTGGTGGTAAAAAATCTTCGATAGGGAAATACCAGGCTACTACCAAATTTCTAGTATTTCTCACTGCAGGGATTGCAAACCGCACAGCAGGAATAAGGTGAAAGTGATCATCTTGTTCCAGGGTGAGACACCCAGACCTCCCTGCTCCCTGCACCAACACCTTCTCTGCAGTAATTAACAGCAGCCCCAAAGCCCTTCAGCTCCAGCATCTTACCTGGCACCATGGGGCTGCCGCCCGAGAGCTCCGCAGGCGCCGGCGCAGCAGCTCGACCGCCGCCTTTGCAAGAAGAACGTTCCAGCTCGAGTCATTCAAATGTGGTGTTACCCACATGTGGAAGTTGGGCAACTTCACTTTTTTTTTTTTAATTATAAAAACAGGAAACTATGAAAGACACCTGCATTATCACGAACTGCTGGTCTAAAAAAAGTAAGGCAGTTTCAGCCCAACTCGGCTCACTTCTTACCTCTAAAGAACACTTTCTTTTGTTTTTTTTTTGCTGAAAACTATGTTATTTTACTATTTTACTAACTCTCCTAAAACCAAGCATTTCCCAACTCCAGTACCACTCCATATAAAAGGCCTGTGAACGCAGTCTAGCCTGCTTAGTGAAGTTTATTTACTAAATAAATCACAACAGAGAAAGGGTAAGGCTACACGTCAGTAAGGGCTTTGCTCAGCAGGGACACTGGAGCTGGAACCACCTTCAGGGGAAAAAAGTTTCCTCTAAAAAGAAAATTAAAAGGCTTAAACTGTGTATTATTGTAATACACATAGAACTATTTTCCTTGTTACACAAAAAAGAAAATAAAGAGCAACCTTTTTTTTTTGGTTTATTCCTATGAAAATCCAGTAAAACCCCACCCTCCTGAAGAAACTCATCCATTGCACTGGCTTAAACTCAACACTGGCGAGTTCAGTTGCGGCCAAGTTTTCCGGTAGCTTTTGGCAGGTTTCCTGCCACCTACATCCTCTTTTCCACACAAGAGGAAGGCACTTTCATCACTATTTGAAGCTTTGTTATGAAAATTCTATTTTTCAGTTAATTTTTAAAATGAAGACATTCATTCTGAGTACCTCCGAGGACCCGACGTGGTGAGCGGGAGCACTGGTGCTCATCTTGATTTTAGAATACATTTACAATTACAGTAGGGATCATTATTAAACAGAAATCTAACCCAAAAGCTGATCATTGTGTTAGCACCAGAATGCTTCACTCTGAAGAATTATCTCCAAAATTGGTCATGATCAAACAGGGAACCAAACAACCCCCACTCTAAAGTAACCGCGGCAGTCTGTGTGTCTGACCCAGCTACCTCAAACACAAAAACTAAACTGCTGTTGCTACTGCTAGTGACAGACAGCGGAGTGGTTGGTTGGTTTCTTTGTTTGTTTAATTACACTTTAGAATCATACAGTTTCCAACAGTAAGCAATGAGACAGGGCAGTGGAATGGGAGGTGGTTACACCGCTGCCTGCGCACTCTTGGATAGTGCCTTCAGGTCCAAAATGCACTTTGCGATACTCTCCTTCTGCTGCAAGAGAAAGGAAAACAGCTTTTAGACTTTTTGAAAGTCATTCTGACATGCAAAATACGCAATCTAATGCACTTTAGAGACCCCTTTTTAGACCTATAAATGGGATACAATTATAGCTCATGAAGTCAGAGATTCAAACCCAAACAATGACCTGCATTAAAGCACCTCCGTGCAGTACTAGGAAAATTTTTTTTATATTTTTGTCTTCAGCCTCATTCCTCAGAAGAAATGACGTCTGGAGCCCATCTGCAGATCTGAAGCTGCCATGCTCTTACAGAAAGAATTTTACAAGTGAGTTTCCTGACCTGGTAGCTGCACACCTCACAATGAGCTTAGCTCTACGGTTGCAACAACAAACACCACACTTGATTTCAGCTAAAATCACCAGCAGCACCAGCATCTGGTCCCTAGTACCTGGGCTGGTCAGCTCTTACAGTAGCAACACATTGCAGCCAGGTGTGGAAGCCACCCAAAGATACCCTAACATCTTCTGGCTTAAGGCAGAATCACCCAACAGCAAATATTTCTACAGACTAAAATGCAAAGCAGATAAAAGCAAGTACCTGTTGAGGTGTGATGCTCTGAATGACATTTTTCTCCACCCACTGAATCATGTGATCTTGTTCTTTCTGACGCTTTAAATTCTGCATTGCCACCTGGTAGTCCAGCCTTTTCTTTACTTCATTGTACACCATCATTAACCTCTCTCGATAATTCGTTTCCAGCAGCATCGCGATATTATTCTAGACACAGAAGATGAAATCAAAGGGTTAACGCTTGCAAGAACAGAAAAGAGCAGCTGAAGAGAAGTCACTGGATGAGGCCCACGGAACTGGCCCTGTCGGCAACACCCAGGGGGCAAAGGGCTCGTTATCATTAGCAGTTTAAGAGGCACCCAGATTAGGCAGTGGAGACTGCAGTGGAATGGAGAGTGGAGCTGGTCCCACGTACCCGCTTCGCGTCAAAGAGGTAACTGCGGCCTTCAACCCGCCATTGCTCCTTCTTCTCCAGCTCAATGGCCGTCTCAAGATCCTTAATAGCCTCGTTTTTCACAGCTAGAGCTTTAGCAACTTTCTCCTAAAAGAACAAACAAAAAATACGCTTCAGAACGCAAGAAAGATGCAAGGAGAATAAGTGATCTGTAATTAACTTCTGGAATTCTACATTAAGATTTGAAAGTGTCTGCGTAAACTGGCTTGTGACAGAGTCGAGGTTAAAGGATGACAAGACAAAAGAATCAGGGGTCACAATCAACTGTACTTTAAAAAAATCATGAACTGTTTTCTTTTTAAGATTTATGTAACAATACTAATGTAAAATCTAAACCATACCTTATTTAAGCAAAATTCTGATGAGAATAGTCAGAACAGTCTGACTATTCCACCTGTTCCAGGTGACAGCCTGGACACAGTATTGTTTTAAATGTTTTGTGACAGCCTGGACACAGTATTGTTTTAAATATTTAAGCAAATCATTTAGAATATTTATTAACCACTACAAAGTTATATTATGGATTCTTTTGTTACCTCATTAAGTTTGTCAGCAAAAGCTGCTACATCAGGCCCAAATTTTTTAACTCCATAAATGATGACTGATAATATGCAGGCAGCTGCAACCGTCTCGTGATTAATTACATAGATTTCCTTGGAGAGAAAGTAAAGCAGGAGTCCAGTTCCCAACATATAAGGCCCTAAAAGAACAATAAAGCAGCATTATTTGTACAAAGCATGAAGAAGCTCACTAAAGTCAAATAGCCAAGAGGGAGCTACTTTAAGGCATACAATGGGATCAGCAAGTGTTCTTTTCTACCACAACAATGATAAAACCCCAATACTGCCAAAGGGGAAGGGTGCCACAAGGATGCTCACTGGAAGCAACTTGCCCAGGACCAGCTCTTCTGCTTATTCAGAAACAGGCAAAAGTCTCCATTTAAAGGTTTTGAATGTCAGCAGGCAAATAAACCTTCCTGCAAGATTGCACTCTTAACATTATTTAACCCTTTATTTAAAGCACAGGTGCTGAGCTCTAGAGGCAGTAATTGCTGCACTGGCTCATTCTTCACAACCCCCTTCTGCGTCTGCAAAAATAATTTCCTCAAATATTTTACCTTTTCAGCTACCAGAAGTAGTGGACAGAACTAAATAAGCGTAACTAAACACACATTTAACAAAAAACATAAAAGTACATATTAACCTGTAACTCCTGTTTTAGGATAGAGAAACTGGAAAAACTCCTCAGGGATCAAACCATGACGGACTTCTCCTCCTTTCTCAGGCAGAGGTGGCAAAGGAGCCAAAGACTGCTGAGTCGTATGCAGTGGTCTTGTGATGTGCAATACACTATAAATAACGAGAAAGCTTCCATTGAGCTTATTAAAAAAAACAACAAACCAAACCAAAAGCAAATAAATCCACCCTTAGATGAAACTGAAACATATTTCTAATTAAATAGGTAGGCATTCATTAGACACGCCTCCTTTGAAGAAATGGGCGGGACTAGATAACCTCCAGAGCCTCCTTCCCACCGTAACTATTCCATAAGCCCGCTATATTAATTAGAAAAATAAAGACAAACCCGCGGAATAACGTTATTTACAAACAACGCCGGGTGGGTTTCTGAGGCGCTGCCAGGCCTCCTCAGGCAGCCCCTCGCTGAGTGGGGGCGGCAGCCGGCCGGGCCGCCCGCCAGCCACTCCCGAGGCACCGCTAGGCCTCAGTCCGAGGTCCGAGCCCCCAGCACTGCTCGCCCAAGCCCCCGGCCCTCCCCCGGTACTCACCCCACGGCTCCGGGAGGCGGCAGGCTCCTCAGCGCGGCCGGGGCTGAGGGAAGAAGAGGGGCAGAGAGCGTGTCAGGACAGAGCTCAGCCAGAACAGCCCCCCCAGTACCCCCCCTACCCCAGGGAGACGGCGCACCCCCCCTTCCCCATCTCACCGGCGCGGAGGAGGAGACGGGAGAGCATGGCGGGCGGGACCGGGCAAACAGCGAGACGACCCCCCCC